CATTAGCATTAAAGGTAGTTCCCTTGTGCTCGATAGTCGATACAGAGTAAATAACGACACGACATCATCAACAACACATGGAAGATAGAGCGGTGATACTTTATTCCGCGCAGCCTTGCTTTGTCAGCGGGATTCGGGACTTTCTTCAATCTCATCACATCCGCCATTCTCATAGTTTGTCCCTGACGCCGCGGACGGCTTCCCCCGGGACTTGGCTTTTATGCTTAATTTCTGAAGAAAATTGGCTCTAACGTACACCCATAGAGCCCTGAGGCTCTCTTCTCAGATGAACTCTCCTATTATGTTGGGTGTGGGGCCTGAGGAGGAGAATCGTGAAGCGCAGTCCTCTCGGAGGCGAACCGCGAGGGCATGCGATTCATGTTACAAGAGGAAGGTATTACTCCTTTAGGGGAAAGCCGAACCATCTCCGTTGAGCATTGACTGATGGTGATACAGATCAAATGTGATGCTGCTGTACCACAATGTAATTGGTGCAGTCACCACGATATTCCATGCACGTTTGAGCGGGTGATCCGGAGGAAGCGAAAAAAGAGCACTGAACCACCGTATGTAGAGGAAACTTTGATAGCCGGCTGAGCTTCCATAGCTAAATATCGCTCTAGGCAGCAAAAAAGTTCCGGTTTGGCGGAGCGAATAAGCAGGATAGAGAAGCTTCTGTCTGAGAGCCTACTGAAAGAATCTGGTTTGCACCCCCTTCTACATCTCGATATATCGCCTTTGAAACTTACCCCTGGTAGGCCCCAGTCTGTCACCGGGCAGTGGCAGTTCGGACCTTGATTTCTCACAACATCCCTCACCTTCAAGCCAGCCTCATATGTCGTCCTCGTCCGTGGCGTTGCATTTCGCCGGCCGGGAGTTGGGCGTCATTAGTATGATGACTGGGATCCCGTTTCTGCTTCCTGAAGGCCGAGAATGGATTCAAGCACGTACAGGACAACAGATTTCCGCCGATAGACTCAGTTATTCCCGGCCACCGTGGGAGAAACAGCGAGTATTAAGCTCAAACAGATATTTGATGAGCATGCAGCCTCAGAGCATGTTTGAACTTCCCGATCGACATTCTGTTGAGGTTCATCTAGACATCTTCCGCACGACTCTGATGCAACGAGTGTTTCCGATTGTGGATCCTATCCTGTTTCATGACACCATCGAAGCCGCGTACTCGCACTCGAGTCTAAGCGCCGGGCGAGCTGACGTCAGGGCCAGTATTATATCGTTTCTTGCCTTTAGTTCTATTCTCCAAGTTCCGGAATACAAGGATCGACCGCTTGGCCTACCGCCGATAGACAGCGAGGGACTTGCCATCAAGGCTCAATATCTCATCCCGCAGGTTCTCCGGGAGGATGCAAGCCTAGAGGGTCTTCAGGCGATTGTCATCATGGTGAGTTATCATTCTGGGTCTGGCATCCCGCGAGACACTGTGCAAGCTGCGTGGCTCTTTTCTATTGTCTTTCAACAGAGCTGACCAATGCGTAGGCGATTTTCGAGCTAGTGACTGGAAATCTTCGTACAGCAGACTATTACGGTTCTGTTGCAGCACGGCTATTATATATGCTAGGAGGCCACACCTATCCCTGCCCCACGAACTCATTCTCCGCATCTCCTGCCGAGCAACTCGAGTACAGAAGAAAATGGCATATTAGAAATCTATTCTGGCTTTGCTATACGATCGAGAAGGACGTGGCTCTTCGCACGGGACAACCACTGGTCCTCTCCGACGAAAACTGCGACTTGACGCTCCCCCCTGGTTATGTAGAGCAACTGTACGTCAGCTTGGGCATTCACCACCATTCCCGAGAACTGCCAAACAATCCATTGTTCCCAGTCGATTTGCGCCTAAGCATAATCAAATCTCGAGTGTATAGCGCTCTCTACTCGTTCCGAGCGCTCCAGAAGACAGATGCAGAGCTGCTGAAGGAGATTCGCGAACTAGATGATGAGCTGGAAAAGTGGAGGATGTCCGTACCGCCGGAATGGAGACCTACCTTGTCTTTCTCCCACGAAACCCCGGATCCAAATGTCAGCATGCATTCCGTCATGTTACGGCTGAACTACCACCTCTGCATGACAATCATTCACCAAGCCAGCAGTCGGTGCAAATCGTGGGTCCAGGGGCAGGGCGGAATGATCGAAGGGGTAAGCTCGAGCCTGGCTCTTTCTGTTGAAGCGAGCCGCTCCACATTACTCTACCTGGAGTCAGCCCAGCATGTCATCGTCGACGGTGTTTTCTGGTGAGTCGCCCGTCTTCCGGGTTTTCGTCGTGTCATGTGTATGCGTATGCGGGCTAACTCGACCCAGGACACTCATTTTCTACCCTATGTCGGCTCTGATCGCAATCTTCTGCAACATCCTGCAAAATCCCTCTGACCCCCAAGCCACGAAGGATCTGGGGTTGCTTCGAACAGCAATATCCATCTCGGAACGGGTCTTCTTGCGCCAATTGATCTCTATAGACGATGTTGTCCACGTGAAGATGGTTGCAGATTTTGTGACAGAGCTTTACACGCTCGCAACGTGCGCTGTCGAGAAAGCGTGGAAGGAGCGTGCTGTGTAGGGCTCTTGACTCGGTTGCACCTTTGGTTGAATAGACTCTAATAGATTTTACTTGTGCTGGTCCACAAGGACTTGATAGATTATGGTTGAGCGGGCATTTTTGGATAATTCTACTCGGATCATGATGGAGATGGTTCAAAGCTACGTGGATTATAGAGCGAAGCCAGATTCAAGTGGCAGGAGACAACTCTCAATATGAAAGATGACTTGATTGGAAAGATATCGATAGTTATATTCGTTCTATTGTTAATTGATTGTGAAGTCAGGAAACCTAAACCAACCAACATTAGCCACTGATCAACGATGTCGAGCAGTGAATTGAGAGGCATAGACAATCAAGCTTTCGCAAGCATGGTCTCAGATTATAATGCACAGATGGAATCAAGTAGTACTTTGTACTTTCATATGGGGTTGAAACAAAGAGATTGGCATATTCATCATTTAAGGAACATGAAGAAATAAGAGAGGGATGCTTACCGAATAGTTGAGATCAGTAGCTGCTGGGTTGATTTTGAGCAATTAGCATTGCTGGGACAACAGTTCTACCTCCATAGAATAAAACTGTGATCTTCCAACGCTGTTCAAAGATGCATTAGTTTAAGAAGGTAGAAATGTCGGCAGAAATTCAGCGGAAGATTTTAAGCACGCGAAATTGGTGCGTCACGTGACCGCCGGATAAAGTAATTTCCCGAAGCACAACTGGGAGATGCATGGTAGATAGGTTGAGAATGATATGCAATCAAATAAGAGTACTCCGTACCGCCCCCACTCTGGGGCTATGTGCATTAAGTGCCGTCCCCCAAGGCTGCTCTCGAGTTCTCTCGAGTTGCATCATGTGATGGTCGAAACTGTCTGCATTGGCGCTCAATTGGCGATCGCAGCGCTACATTCGCGCGTTCATGAGAGTTGACAATTATTTTCGACCATCAAGCACCAGGTAGGACAGTAGTGTAGAAGACCTGCGATTTGGTCGTTAAAAGCGAGTCGGAGAACGCCGTGTGGCTGTTTTCTGGGGCACTCCAAGTACTTTATGCCGAAGGGGAAAAAGAAAAAGATATTGGAGCAGCGACTGCCGACCTCAATCCGTTCCGTCCAGAATGTCCCAAACCAATCGAGAGTCTTTGGCGTCCTGATCGCTAGTAGTGCGCTTTGCCGTATTCTTCTCGACTGACTTAGCAACAGAATCTACATCGACTCCCTGAGCTTTCAGCTGCTCTAGGAAACCATTGATCTCGGCATGCATCTTATCCATTTGCTGTATCTCTTCTCGACTCCGGTTGAGCTGCTCCTCCATCATCATAATCAGGGACTCTCGTGCTTGGTGTGGTCGATAGAGGTTGAGAAGGTGGTGGGCGTTGATGAAGAGGTTTCGCAAGTCCTCTACCTTAGATTGGAACTGCTCCGGGGCTATCGAGAGGATACCGACAAACTCGAGGAAGTTTAGTAGTAGGGACTTGCTGATTTTCAGAAGATAGTATGCATGGTTGAACGGGCGAGATGGCAGTGACGGCTTGTCGGGGTCGGTCTCGGTTGGAGTTGAGGGATAGAGCTGTTCGATACCCTGATCTTGCAAAGACGGCAGGGTCGTAGATAGCTGTCATGTCATGGTAAGTAGCGAATCAATTGAGCGCCTTCTATGTGGAGGACCTACACTCTGTAATTCTCCAAAGACGCTGTAGTGTCCCGACGTCGGTATCTCCGGGGGCACGAGGAAACGGAGCTCTGGTGGAAGTTGGAGAGAGCGCAATTCAGCAGGAGTCCACTTCTTCTTTCGCGGCTTGCCGTCTTCCCCCTTCGAGGCCTCTTTTTTGATCTCCTCTAGTCGTTTGAAGTTGTCTGGTGTGAAGTGCTTCCAAAGGGGAGGCGGCGGAGCGAAAGCCGTTGTGAGCGCTCTTTGCTGCCCAGCTTCAGCCATGAGGACTAACAAACGCCGAATGAGTTTTCTAAATTAAATAAAGGCTTCAAGCTCCCTGATGCGTGTTGAAATCGGCCTGAGCAACGCATGGGGCAGAAAGCTGGGCAGTGGTCATTGAAGAGGATGCGGAGATTCGACGGAAGTGGCTGTGGCCCGTGCTTTACTGCTGAAGACAGGACCGCCAGATTGCTCGTGTGCTTTTGAACAACCAACTGGCGCTGTCTCGAGGTATCACTTAATCACCATCTCCCCGTCGTTTCTCCTTTCTCAATGCGTAATTTGACATGTGTGCGGAGTTCTTATTCTCATGAGTAATATACTCGATTGAACACCACAGAGATGCCTCGCAATGGCATGGCTACTGGGCTGAAGCCGACTGTAGTGCCAGGCACTCTGGCTCGCTTTTGGCAGCGTTCCTATCCAGTCGTGGACTATATCGCTTTAGCATGTCTAGCAGGGATATGGGTTATGGTAATTCCTTGCTGTATCTGAGGTCGAGCTACTGTTGCGTCACTAACGGCTCTCATCGTCCACAGATTCAACTTTTCGTGGAGCCATTCCATCGCATGTTTTCTCTCGATAATAGATCTATTCAGTATCCGTTTGCCATTGTAGAAAGAGTTCCTGTGGGTGAGCATGTTCGGAGTCTAACACACGGTTTTTCATATGCTCATGCATTGCCAGTATGGTCGATTATCTATGCCGGACTCGTCCCACTTCTGATCCTGCTTTGCTGGGCGGCCATTTTCCGCCCCAAACCACACCAGGTTCAGTTGACTATTCTCGGGCTGCTTGTTGCGCTAATGTTGACATCCCTGATTACGGACATCATCAAGAACGCGGTTGGAAGACCTCGACCCGATCTTATCTCGCGGTGTATGCCCAAGAAGGGCACTCCGGGCAACACCTTGGTGGCCTGGACGGTCTGTACACAGTCGAACAGCCATATACTCCAGGAGGGATGGAGAAGTTTTCCCAGTGGTCACAGCAGCTTTTCTTTCAGCGGGCTAGGATACCTGTCAATGTCAGTTACGGTTACAAGAGTGTTACCAAGCTACCGATGCTAACGCGTACTTGATTAGGTTCTTCTCCGGACAAATGCATGTATTCCGCCCTAGAGCTGATCTCTGGCGCTGCATTCTGGCTTTAATACCGATGTTGTGTGCGCTGATGATCGCAATCTCGCGCCTTGAGGACTATCGGCACGATGTCTATGATGTGACCTGCGGGTCTATCCTTGGCCTGATTATCGCTCATTTCTCCTACCGACGCTACTACCCTCCGTTGCGATCTGCCGCTTGTGATATCCCGCACGAGGCTTGTGAAATCGTCGGTCCAAACGAATTCTCTAAATTGCCAGGCGATGAGGAACAACAGATCCAAGAACGAGGGCTAGAATCACGCGGCTGGGAAACCCAGACATATCAGCTTGAGGATCTGCCATCTCATCACGATCGGTTTCAACATTCTTCCTCGGCTACTTCTACATAAAAATGAAATATTGACACCCCAACACTCTTTCCTTAGCAATGGCGTGCTCGCATGCGCATGCATACCCTGGTGGTATATGCACATGTACGATGACTACTCACACATATGTAAAAAAAGCGGTATGAATCTTTTTGGATAGATACACCACCTCACCTACAACTTGGAAATATCTCTACATTGTACATTTGTCCACTCCTTGACGTCGTGGAAATCCATCACTCTGTTGGGTCCCCCGAATCTTCCTAGAGTATCCTTCCAGTTGCGATTGGCAGCAATCTCTGGGTTCCATTTGATCAGTTCGTGGATCTTTTGAGGAACCTTGCCTTCCATAGCATCGACGATAAGACTGCCAATCGAAGGCAGGTATTTGAATCCTAGAAAATATTCAATTGGTCAGCTCTTGTCGCGCGTAAGATCTCTTGAGGTGAAAGTCTTACCTCTGCCGGAAGCACCGCAGCCTAGAACAAGAGAATGGTATTGAGGATGACGATCGATCAGGAACTCGCGGTTGGCAGTGTCGGCGCACCAGCAAATCCTGGCGAAACTGAATGGACGGTCTGCAAGCTGCGGCATTGTCTCTTTGAGCAGAGCTCTAACTCTCGTCTCAGCTTCTTTAGGAACCTGAGTCTTTTCGAAAGGAATGCTCATCATCCTTCCGTCGGCAGACTGCACCATATTCGTATATCCGGGATGTTCGTCGCAGATCTTAATCTCGCCACGCTCCTCGTCTGGCTCAAAGAAGAACCCCCTCTCGATGTTGAAGATGACTGGGATGTTCTTGTAAAGCGCCCGCTCTTCAGGCTTCAGTGCGATATGAACCAGCGTCCATGCCGTTGGACGGAGCTGATTCTTGAAGTCGAGGAACTGACCGGCGCTGGCACCGGCACAGAGAAAGGTTCGCTCTGCACGCCAAATCTTGCCGTCTGCCGTAACGGCACCTTTGACGTCGTTGTTCTCAAATATTAGAGTGATTACCCTGCCCTGGGGAGTGCCAGTCACGAACTTCACACCCATTCTCTGAGCCTCCCTCGCAGCAGCCACTAGCGCGTTGCGAGCATGGGCCCAACCAGCTCCTGAACGTGCAAAGTAGCCCCTCCAGCCGGGAAAATCGCCCTGCAGAATACCCTCAGGTGCCAATTTGCGGAATTGCTCCGGCCGTGTCAGTTCCACAAGGTTGGGGTCCTCGCCGGGCCTGACACGGACTCCAAGGCGTTCCAAGCCTTCCTGAGAGCAGGCGGACATGAGCAGCCCAGTATCATGATAGTACGGTTTGAACAGAGGGTCTTTCTTCCAGCCATTGAACGCCTCTTCAGCCAGAATCTCATTAATCTCGATCTCGTCCTTGTTGTTGCTGTATTGGCCTGAGGAGATGACTTTGTTCACGTCATTGCCAGCAGAGATGGCCGAGGGAACAGGGTAGGGATCTAGAACCGTCACATTTGTGTATCCTCTGCGTGCCAGATGGAGAGCGGTCGATGTGCCCCAGGTGCCTGCACCAACGATCAAAAGGGGAGATGACTTGGTCACTGCCATGAGGTTGTCTTGGTGAGTATGAAAACGAGATGATTGAGGAAACCAGTCACACTATGAAAGTC